AGATGAACTCCACTTAGATATAAAGACTATTTTTAACGTTGATAAATAAACATTTCGTGGACCCTTAAATAAGAAGAAATCTGTTTCGAAAAAAAAAAAATTCTTAAAAAAAGTTAATTTCTGCACTTAAAAAAAGCTATGACCTGGATCCATTTGGTTGGCTTATAGGGCAATTGAAATTCAATTCCCAGAAGATAGAATTATATATTGTCGGATGTAAAATAATTTTAGGCAGCTATGTTGAATTCAAGAACTTAGGATCATTTATTTATCTTAATTAATCAATAGTATCGGAATGCATATTATACATGCCGTCCTAAAAAATATGACTTATTCAACTCAATTATTCCCTGTTAAAAAATTTAACGTTGTGATGACCTTAACAAATGGAAATTATTTTTCTAAGTTTCAACGCGCAACTCCTTGTTCATGATATAATCTGACTTATCTGGTGGATGAAACTTATGTACTATTTAACCAGAGAGTTTTTGGCGTATCTTCTTCATCTGTTGATCAAGCATTCTTAATAATTGTGAAAAATATTATTGTATCAGCCTGCAATATGCAGCAAAAGGCTTGCATTCTTCTAATCTTATGGCTTCCATTTAGCTTTTCCATATCAAAACAGACCATCAACAACAGCACAATCGCGCTACCCAGCTGCCCCACCAAGTGTGGGAATGTATCCGTTCCATACCCATTTGGTATTGGTTTAGATGCTGGATGTTCCATAGGCCCATGGTATGACATCAACTGTTCTAAATCTTTTAACCCTCCAAAACCCTTCCTCAGCAGAACTAATGGAGAGATTATCGACATATCAGAAACCAAAATCCGTGTCAAAAGCAATGGGATAGCTTACAGATGCTACAATCAGACTGGTGGTATAACTCGTGAATTTCCAACCGTATATGGTATAGATGAAACCTCGCCTTTCAGTTTTTCAAACGAAAACAAGTTCATAGTTGTGGGATGTGATGATGTTTCCTATATGGCAAAAGTGGCAACTGATTATGGCAAAAGTGGCAACCGATAACTTAATCAGTTCATGTGCTGCCATATGTTCAAAGAGCAGTGACTTGAGTGATGGATCTTGTTCTGGAATTGGCTGTTGCCAAAACTCCATTCCAAAGGGCCTAAAGAATTACATTAATTTCCTGAACAGCTATGGAAATCAC